ACTGCGCCACCAGGGAGGGCCCAAGCAATCTCTTTTGTTTAACTTTGTACCCCAGTCAATATGTTTATGCACTATTGCTCTAAAATGATTATGTTTTACACTGCAGTTGAAGCTGTTTCTCTTTATTTCCCCAATACAACCACTGTCCACTTCCCTTCAACTTTATATTTTAACTCATTTAGAACCAGTTTTAAGTTTTATTGACCACATCTGGTGATGTTCACCTTAGGAGGTAAAAACACACAATAAAAATCAGATGATCTGTTGTAAGAAAAGTAAAAGTGCAAGAATCCCATTATATGGAAAGCACATAACAAAATGTCACGACTTTTCCATTCATGCAACAAATGTTCACTCATTGCATTCTATCTGGGGACATTAAGCTACATGCCTGGATACTAAAAAAAATACTCTTGCTTATTCAAAAAAAATGTTAAATAGATTCAAATACAACTGGAGTCAAATCAAAATTCTTTCTCAACTTTCCACTGGTGGTCCATTAAGCTTGAATTTCTAGTTAACACGAAAGAGCTTGTTCTTGTGAGGAACTTCTGTAAAATCATCCCTTTGGGGTCCCAGAGCTGAATATAACAGCCAGCTCACAAGGGCTATAAGCTCAATCATTCCAGTCTTTCTCTTCCTGAAGCCTTTTTACATGTGGTTGTCTGCAACCTCAGTTTGTATATTCCTATCCCTCTGTGACCACCTCTGAAGTCTTTAAGTCTTTAAGTCTTCAATGGACCACTGAGTTCTGGCATCTCTCACTGCCTCCATGTTTAGAGCCTACCCTAAGGATGAGTCATGGAAGTTTTTGCTTTTTATCAGTCATACAAGCCAGACAGACAAACTGTATACATATGAGAGGACTCTATATGCCTTTGTGCTGAGGAAGGGATGTTCTTATAGTCTGTTTTATATAATGCAGGACTGTTGTGAAGCCTTAGAAACCTAAGTAATTCTGAAGTACATCTTTCAGACAACAGACGCATTCTGCAGCCCCTCCTGTGCTTCTAGACCATGGAAACCTGAGATGTCTGGGTGAGGTTGCAGTAGAAGCTGGTGAGCCATGGCAACTGAAAAGCATCAGTGAAAGGGGCAGTGGAGAAAGAAGGCTGAAGACATTTCTGCCTGTGTCTCAGTGGTGTGTGTGTAGGAACCAAAGCACTTGAGGCTTCATGTTTTATGGCAAAGGTCTGAGTCACAGTTCAGCAAGTCTTTCAACCTGATGTCAACCTGCCCTAAGGTCCAAGGCATTAATTCTGAGCAGTCATGAGGTGATGCCTTGACCCTTCTCAGCTTCACAAATGAGGTGCTGAGACAACACACAGGTCCCTCTACCACAGCGGCAAGCCAGCCCATGGGGACACCTTGTGTGCTTAACTTCAACTTGAATGATGTTTTAGAAGTAGGATTTTCAAGGTCAGGGAAAATCACAATGGTTTTCTACTCACCAAGGCCCCATTGAAAGTGGCGATAAATGGAAGATGCTGGAATGGGGTCTAGCCGTCCTCACTTTGGAAGAAATGAATGCACTTGTAAGTGCAGCACAAGTCAGGAATCTGTTGCCTCAGAGTCCAGAGAGGGGCCAGGGCCTCCCAGGAAGATGTTCTCTGCTGGGTGAAGTCTCCACCTTCTCCTCACGCCCAACACAGGCCCCTTCCCAGGCTTATTCTCCTTGGCATCCTTGTAAGCAGGGACGCAGAGGGGACTCAGCTGAGATAATCAGGATCCACGTCCTAAATGCCTCAGTCTGGTCTGTGGGAGCCTTCACACAGTGTGCAGTATTGTACTACCCACTGCCTGTGGCTTCTTATGCAGTAGGCTGCCAGTATGCTGGCTGTTAGTGCCCCCCCCCCATCCCCCATAGTTTTGAACAATACTTCAAAACACAAATGTCAGATTAAAAGAACAGATTTTTTTTTTCTCATGCACACCATGAATTCTTTATTGATTGGTTTTGTCAAATATTCAGTGTGCCCACAAGTGAATTTAAAAACATTTTTTTAAATGGGTCAGGGCGCTCCCGACAAGAAAACCTAAACAATATGATAGAGCAAAGGATTTATTACAAGGGATTGGCTCACAAGATTATGGAGGTTGAAATGTGTCTACAAGTTAGAAACCCAGGAAAGCAGGTTGGGCGGCTTTGGTTCAAACATGAGAATCTGAAAGTGTGGGTGTCTGAGGGTGGGGAAAGTTCCAACAGAAGCTAGTTTACCCTTCTGACATATTTTTGTTCTGTTTAGGACCCCAAAAGATTGCATGATGCCCAATTGACCTGGTGAGGACAGACTTCTTTACTCAGTTACTGATTTAAATGCTAATCTCTTCTGGAAATCCTTGCAGACGCACACAGAAATAACATTTTGCCAGTTATCTGATCATCCCTTAGCCCAGCCCCACTGACACACAAAGTTAAAAAACACAGTGGGCAGAGAGGGCCTTTTTTATACTTTGGTTTCTTTACTTGTGTTTAAATACTTTCTCACATATTCTATTTCTTTTTAAATGTTTGAAATTCCTTATAACAAGTATGATCAGGTAGTGCTTTGTGAAGTCTGGCCTGTGAGTTTGCTTTTTTCAAGTCATATTTGGTGCAACTGAGATCCAGCAAAACCTGAGAACTTAAGATGCTCAACTAAAACCTGAGAACTTAAGATGCTCCACCAACTCTCAGTAACTAGTCCCTATCATTTCTTGGAATAGAGGGATGTTCATATTTACTGTCTTGAGTCATGCTCAACCAACTGGATCTCTTTTATTGAAATGTAAACTCTTTTGCTATCCATTTAAAGTTTATCATTTGTAAGAACTTTGATTTTGAATAAGAACATTACTTTAAACTGGTCACCTGTTCTGCATTTTCAGTTAATTCAAAACAGAGAAAACTCTGGGATTACTTCATTCGATATAGACCACTTATTCTTCAGGATTCTTCTATAAGTACAGGAACTTTCTTGACTCTTACCAGAAGAACATGGTATTTTGATCTTCTAGGTGATGGCCATCCTTTGTACAGGCCCCAGGGCCATACCAAGGAAAAAGAAGGAAAGCACCTACTTACAATAAGCTAGACAAGTGAAAACAATCCCTGGCTTGGAGGACCTACAAGTTGATTGTAAGAGATGAAATGATACCTAAATAAATCATAATATAGTATGTTTCTCATAAAACAAAGAAATACATAAAGCACTGTAAGAAGGGAGCATGAGGAAGACCTCGTTGAGAGATTAGAAGTTTAAGTCAGAGGTTACTAGGCAGAAATGAATAGAAAAAAATATCTCAGATAGTAGGGGCACCTTAAAAAAAAAAGGACAAGTTTTGGGAATGACGAGTGGTTAAGTGTTAAGACAGTAAGTTACTTCGGTTGACAAGGTGGGAACTAGAAAAGCAGGTAGGGGCCAGAATTCAGAAGGCCCTGGGCACCAGCATATGTGGTTAGTTTTGGTCCTATTAACCATAACTCCCAGAAGATTTAAGTGCCTCTTTTAGAAGTTTGATTAGATGGGGCCTCTATTTCTTGAATTGAGCCACTTTTCTTCCTGGTCCTCTGATCCCCTTAGTCTACACAGCTTCTGATGTTTGCTTCAAGTTTCATGGCTTTGAAAAGTGTCTGAATTCAGTGGAACAATCTTTTAAGAAAGTGTTTGCTATTTTACTCTGGCCCTATTACAGGGAAATGGCATTGATATTTGGATTTGTCCTCTCCTCAAGGGAGGATGATTAGATATATTCAGTATTTTTTAGTTTCATGTTTAGTTCTTAAAGATTTTTTGTCAGCATTGGTTAGAGCTGACCAAAAGTATCAGAGCTGGTTAGTGATCTGTGAGTTCAACCAGGGGGTTACCTAACTACATAAGGAGGGAACTAAGGCCAAAACTCAGGTCTTCTGACTCCCAGTCTAGTGCTCTTTTTGTGTGTTCCAGCTTCTAGCACAGCAATAGGACAGAGTGTACTTGGCTACCTCAACTCCACAGCCCATGAGTGAGTGAGACCTGGAGCTAAGGAAAGGCAGTGTTCCCAGAATGGAATTCTGTGTGGTACCTCAAGTCAGCTGGCATGACATGATGTTTTCTGATGTGTGCCTTTCTTTTGCAAGATGGGAGCAGCACCTATTTAATCCTGCAGCTGTAGCTGAGAGCAACCATGGATGGTGGGGGTTCTTTCGTGATGGATAAGGGACCCTTGTTCAAATCATAGACATTTGAATGAATCAGTGTTGGAAGGAATCTTGAAGATGATATGTGGTGGCAAAAGCTTCATGTCCTCCACTGGGCTTGGAAGTCTCCCTGGAACTAGAGAACAGTTTCCTTTTGACAAAGCTTTTTGTCTGCCAAATGTTCAAATTAAGAAAGGATGTTTAAGCAGATGGGGCTTTTGCTCGAAGGGACTCTCTGCACGGACGAGGTGGCTAGATGGCAGCCGCGATTTCCAGCTTCTGCACACGTTTTCTTTAATACCGGCTGCAGTGAGCTCACAGCACAGCTATGAAGTCTAAGGAGCTGTTGGACCAACATCCCGGATTATGAATACCAACCACCACCATTTATTTGCAAACCAATTAAGCGATAGGCACTGTGCGTACCAAGTATCTCATTACATATTTAGATCCTGGGAGGTACGATGAAGTATGACATTTTTTTCTTAGACAAGAAAAGAAATTTTGCTCACCGCCTCCCAGGGAAGGGAGCCTGGATCACATTTAGGTTTACCAGATCACAAAGGCTTGTTTCGGCTTTTCTTTTTCTTAATCTACAGCTTCTTACTCGTTCCCAAACATTAGGGAGTCGCTTCGGAGTTCCGTTTCCCCTCTGCCTAGGCTGCGGGAGGATGACCAGCACAACAAAGGGACTGCGGACACGCTACAGCAGCAGTGCGATGGACCTGACCGCGGCTGGTAAATTTGGGGGCGGAACCTTCTGTGGGCGGAACCTTCTATGGGTGGTGCCTTCCGTGGGCGGGCGGTGCCGGCCGGAAGGAGCTCTCGGGACGATCCAGAACTGGACGCGAGTTCCTGACGCAGCGTCCCGGAGCTCTGAGGGGGTCTGCCTGTGTTTTTCTATAGTAGAGCTCCCCCTTACCCCGCGTTCCCACTACCATAGGCTGCCGGGAGAATGGTGGCCCGCCTGCTGATACGTGCCTGGCCTCGGGCTCCTGCTGTTGGCCCTGGAGTCCTTTGTCGATCCCTCAGCGCAGACTCCGGGCCCGGTCAGTACCTGCATCGCAGCATCGTGCCCACGATGCACTTCCAAGACAGCCTGCCCAGGTGAGCCCGGCCTCCAGTCCCTGCCTCCACTGCCTGCCCAGGATCAATCCCTACCTCCCTCCAGTCGTTCACACTTCACCTGCTTCCGCCCCCAAACCCAACTCGGAAAGCCTCCGCATTCCCAGTCTGGAAATCCTGTGACCTTCAGAATCTAGAACCGGAACCTCAAAACCTCAGACTCTAACAGAACTCTTGTTGTAAGAGTCTCTTACATTTCTCCCTGAAAAATGTCCAGCCTTCCTGTCTTCAGCACCACCAGTTGGAATGTCCCTGAAGTACTTTCTTGACTGCCTCTTATTCTACTTAGAATGTGGATAGGTCAGCCTCCCTATAACACTATAGCCTCCCTCCGCATCTCCCAACACTACACCGTCTTCACAAAAACTCTTCACCCCTACCCCCATTCCGTAGCCCCAGTCTCTATTACTGACTGCAGTATGCTGTACTTTTACCATCCCCTAAGGGCCCCCAAATACACGCTTCAATTGTTCACCACAATATACCTTCATATCCTTTTCAGCATCTAAGTCCTCTTCACCAAGAAACTTCACCCCAACCAAACCCTCAACACTAGCCCCAGGTTCCTCCCCCTAAAATAGCCTCCTCCCCATTTTGACCTTTAAGCTTGTCCACCTACAGCATTCTAAACACCCCCTTGATAGCTCTCCTAAGCTGTCTTATACACATCAAATTCAGAGGCCACCAAATTTTATCTGTTGTTCCTCACCATAAACTACCCACCCTTCTAAAACACTCCACCCATAAACTGCTTCCCTTATGAAAACAGCCTTTATAAAATTCACTCCTCTGCCCTCTCCTCCAATTTTTAAATTTTACCCTCCAGTTTTACCAGCCTTTGAATACCCAACCTTTATCTGAGCCCCCAGGTTTCCTCAATTATTAGAAATTTCCCCAAATTCCTTCATTCTCTAAAAATGAAAAACTAATGTCTTTACTTCTCATTGGCTCCTAGTGCCAAGTTCAAAATTTGTTTCAAAGACCCTTCTCACTTCGTCACCAAATTTCCATCAGGGATCTCCCAGGTCAGGAACTAGAAGCCAGCCTCTTCACCCCACAGGCTTGTTTGGGATTTTCTTTCATAGAACAAAGAAAATATGACAGGCATCACCCCTAACTACTCAGTTGTTGCTTTTCTCCATATTTGGGAACCATTTAACCCACCATCATCACTACCACCCTCCCCCAACCTCTTAGGAAAATAAATTATCAGAAATGAAATAGTGCACAAACATCTAACACAAACTAAAATGAGATTATTTAGCTACAATCCCTCTGTTTAGATTAGGCAGACAGAGAAAAAAAGGACAAGAGAAAGAAAAAGGGGTTTTGTGGCGGAATCAGCCTGGGATATGCCTCTGGAGCCTTTTATAGCCTGGGTGTGAGCTGAGCCAGTATGTAGGGGAAAGGTGAGGACTGACACAACCTGTCTTCACTTGCCAGATCTCTCAGCAGATGGCCTTTGATTTTCAGGCAGGCCTGTACCTACCCAGGTTAAAAGTCACAGGATTTCCTCTAGTTTAGAATTAGAAAGTGGAGAGTATTCAAGATCTTTTACTTTAACCCCATCCACAGTACAAAAGTCTGTAGGAATGTGAAGCTACAATCACATTCATCACTGTGTACAACCTTAAACTGATTTCCTCCTTCCTTCTTTCTCTCAGCTATAAATTGGGGTCAGATAAGATTCCTCAGTTTCTAGATAAAATATGTTGTGTTTTTCACTAATTTTACACTTATTTTGACACGACACTTGGTGAAAGCCCTGACTTTGAAGTCTGATAGAGCTCTGTTTCAGATTCCAAAATCTGAAGCTCTGTAACCTGAAGTATGTAACTTGCAGACAATTCAGTTGACTTATTTGAGCCACAGTGCTTACTGTAAAGTAGCAATGGAAACACACAGTTCACAGGACTAGTGTGCTGATAAAGTGAGAAAGATACCAAAGATAAGGAGTTAACTAATTTATGTAAAGAAGAATTTATGAGTTTACAGACCTTAAAATCCAGTTTGGATTAAGGGACTCAAATGGTGTCATCAGGACTCTTTGCCATATCACTCAACCCTTCATTTCTGTGACTGTTCTCAAGCAGCCTCTCCCTTATGGTGACAAAGTGGCAGCCATCACATAATGCATAGTTTATACCTTAATCTCTCAGTGACCTCAGGTATTAGAGATTCCCCTTTCCTAACAGTTAAAAAAAAATACTGTAATGAAGTCTTGCAGGTTCTTAATAGGGTCTTACTGTGTTGAACCAGTAAGCTGTAAATCCACCCTGGGGTGTTAGGGAAGAGTCAACTCCACCTGAGCCATGGGGACTGGAGATGGAAGGGGTGCTGTTATTGGAAGACAGGAGGATGGATGGGGGACAGACAAAGTAATAGAAGTGATGAAATGCTATGCTAGGTGCTGTGAAAGAGATGTGAGCTAGTTCCTTAGGGTAGTAAATAGTCTAGTAGGTTTTTATTATTATGTGCCAGGCACAGTTCAGTTAATGACATACAATGCTTCAGTCAGTCTGCACAGAATGCTAAGAGGTACATATTAATATTATAGATGAGAAAAATTAGGTGAAGGGTGGGTGGTATCCCCACAGTCACACAGCTGTGTGGTTAACTGTCTACTTGCTTCATCATTGTGCAGTTTTGCCTCCCAGGCATTAGGTAAATGCATTGGTGTGGACTGTAAATACTGTGGTGGCATTTACACTGGAGGCATTTATCCAATGCAAAAATAGAGATCTGGTTAGTTTGGCATATTCATTATCTTTAATATTTTTTATAGAAAACAGGTGACTTTTATATCCATGATAGAGCTTTTTATACAGAATCTATCCTGCTTTAATAGATAGAAAATTGAGAAAATGTATTTGCTGTATTAGTGACTCAAAATTAAATCATCACTAAATCTTGCATTATGCCAATAAAATAAATTCAAGCTAGAGTTGACACTCCAGAAGCTTTTAAATTAAAGGCTCTTAAAAACTTCAATTGCTTGTTATTTAGGATTTTGTTTAAAAAGGTACTTTCATTATTGCCCCCACTGTATCAAAACACAGTCCTGAGAAACGGTAAGTTGGTAATTTTGTGATTATGAGGTAACAGGTAGTATTTGGGATTTCCTGTGCCAGTCTGTGAATGTAAGGGGGTATTAAAGTATTATGAGTGGGTATTTAGCTCATAGAGCTATAATTCAAATTTATTTTTTTAAAAAAAGATTTATTTCTGCATACAGACTGAGGTACAGGCCAGAGGTGCAGGGGTGGTGAAAAGATTTACCAGAGACAGAGTAGGGAGCAGAACAGGTAGATTGACAAAGTACGCTGCTGAGGGGAGCAGTGGGCCAGTCAGGAGAGGTCTGCTGCGCCATGTGGGTCACCTCCTGGGACGCGGACTGAACTCTTGCCTCAGTGGCTGCAATAGCTTCATAGTGCTTTAACCTGTTGTGCCACCATGGAGGGCCCTCAGATTTGTTTTTTTTTATATCATATTCTGGATAAACATTCCTTGAAAAATAAACTGAATGACAGTTTATCTTAGAGTAAGGTTTTAAACTGTGTTTTATGGATAACTTTTCAGTTTTCCCAATGACATATTTAGATATTTTAAATATATAGTTTTTGGCAGTTGGCAGAGGTAACCATAACAAACTATGACTGAGCTTAGCTACTAGGGGATATAACTCAATAAAATTGTTAAAACTATAAAGAAAGTCCACTGTACTGTACTGTCCATGTGTTTTCATTTCACTCTGAGCCAGTAACTTCCTCACCATAGCTGTCACTGGGAATTTACCAGCTGAGAATGACCAGTAAGAACACACATAGGAAGATCTGTTTCTTCCTCTTACCATTCCTGGCATGATTTAGTGGTCTATCCTAGATTTGCCTGGCTCCTGGACAGACCTTCATTTTAATATGATTCTGTGTTGTAAAATACACTAGAAAATGAAAAAGTAATTACTATATTTTTCTTAAAAGTAGAGGTAAGAGTTACCTTTGATACATTAGTAAATCCATCAGTTTTTATTTTCAGTGACTTTCTCTTGGTTTTTGGGAAGAAAACTAATTATTCAGTAATAAGTTTATTAATAATGATAACCTCTTGCACATATGCTTTCTCCTCAGGCTGCCTATCCCTAAACTTGAAGACACCATTAGGAGATATCTCAGTGCACAGAAGCCTCTCTTGGATGACAGTCAGTTCAGGTACATGCTGAGGACCTTGAATGACGTGGTTGGGTGGTTGAGGGACCCTAGCAAGTGATGCTAAATCAAGCATCAGGGGTTATCAGGGAGGGACTAGCAAGTTCAGGAAACAGATATTCACTCCTAAAGATCGAGCCCTAAGATGAGAGTCTCTCTAACTAGACTCAACAAGTGATGCCAGATTTGTACTGTATCTTGAAGGTATCCTGGAAGCAACCTGGTCTGGCCATTTGCAGAAAGCATGTATTCTCAATAGGGAGAACAATATAAAACAAATACATCTGAGGTGAGCACATGACATACCAGAATTTTTCTTGGTGAGCAAGTGTATTGGACTAGATATTGTGCCCCCACAATTCATGCTGTCTTGCCATCACAGTATGTGATTTTACTTGGAAATGGGGTTGTAGCAGATTTAATTAGTTAAAATGAGGTCTTGGTATAGTAGGTACTTTGTCTAGTATTACTGCTTTCCTGATTAGACTAGCCACAAAGATAGCCAAATGGTAATGGAGACAGAGACAATTCATAATCTTCTGATTTTAAACATCCCTATTAATCATTTGTAGCTTTTCTTGATATGGTAATGCTTTAATAGCTACCAGTGATAAAATGTTATGTTTCAGTCTAGCTTAAATTCTCAGCTTTGCAAATTAAAAAAAATTTTTTTGGGGGGGGTTACATTTTTGTTTTTCCACATATGTACACATTCCACTTACCCTCCACCAAAACTTCCAGTACCCCGTTTGCAATATTTTTAATCTTGGAAGGTGTTATATTATTATTTTATACAAGAGAAATGATAATGAAGCAAGAGAGATTAAATAACTTATTTATCCATACAGCTTGAAACAAAGCTAGAATTCAAATTTATCTCCAAAGTAAGGTCTTTTTCTCCATGCCAACCGGTCTCCTAAGTTATGAATTGTTATATGAAATGTTGTTTGATCTTCCTGATTAATCATTTTAAGAAGATATTCTAGATTTGTTTTATATTGTTCTTCTGATCAGAAGTCCCTCTGATGGTAGTCTCCAGATTTATGCCATGAATCTAAGAACTTAGATATATTCCTTGCTGTATTTTGATTCTATCTTTTAATTTTAGGAAGACAGAACAATTTTGCAAGAGTTTTGAAAATGGAATTGGAAAAGAATTACATGAACAGCTGGTTGCTCAGGACAAGCAGAATAAACAGACAAGCTACATTTCAGGTGGGTAGGCCAGGCAGTGGGATGATTTTTCTCAGATCCTGTTGTAAGAGAGAGTGCAGCATTTTCTCTCCTGTTTTATTCTCAAAACTATTTCTGATGTAGAAATACATTACTACATACTACGTACTACAGCATTGATGTAATGTCTCATCCTCTTTCTGAAGTAAGCATTAAGGCTGAGTTCCTCCACTAAGGTGATGACCAGAAGCTGTGCTCAGCTTTGTAGATAAGGTGAAGACAGAACCTATAGTAGCTATAGGATTAAGCCCTGTGTCCTGGCTGAACTGCCCTCTCCAGCCTCTCTTACTACTGACTCTGACACAGTTCATACTCAGTAAAACTGAAGAACTCGTTGTTCTTCTAGCCTATTAGTCTTTCATTCTTCTGTGCTTTTATCCATGTTGTTCCCACTACCATTTTTTTAAAAAGATTTATTTATTAATTTATACAGAACCGGGGTACAAGCCAGAGATGCGGAGGGTGAGAGGATTCACTAGAGACAGAGCGGGGAGCAGAACAGGCAGATCAACGAAGTACACTGGTGAAGGGAGCAGCGGGCGGGCCAGGAGAGGTCTGCCACGCCATGTGGCCACCTCCGGGGCAGGCGGGGATCGAACTCATGCGGAAGTGGCTTTAGCTTTTTAGTGCTGTGCTTTAACCCTCTGCGCCACCAGGGAGGGCCCCCACTACCATTTTTTATGGCCACTCTTTCTTTTTAAGACCCTGATGGGTTGTTTTTCTGTGAAACCTTTTTAGCTATTCTCTCTCCATCTGGAGTTATTTGCTTCCATCTCTGTCCCCTCAGCACTTTTTAAAATTTATATTTTTATTAAGGCTATTCATACACATAATTCATTACTTTTTTTTTTTTTTTAAGATTTATTTATTTGTGCATACAGAACTGGGATACAAACCAGAGATGCAGGGGCAGTGAAAGGATTCACCAGAGACAGAGTGGGGAGCAGAACAGGCAGATTGTGGAAGTACATTGCTGAGGGGAGCAGTTCATTACTTTTTAAAGATGTATTTATGCATACAGAAACTGGGTACAAGCCAGAGTTGCAGGGGCTGAGAAGATTCACCAGAGACAGAGTGGCAAACAACAGGCAGATGTATTGAATACATTGCTGAGGGTTGTAGTGGGCGGGACAGGAGAGGTCTGCTGTGCCTTGTGGGCCACTTCTCTGGCTGGGGAGTCAACTCGTACTGCAGTGGCTATGGATAGCTTCATAGCACTGCACTTTAACCCGCTGCACCACCAGGGAGAGCCCCATGTACATAATTTAAAGAATGAAATGGTTCTGTAAGTCCTATTAGGAAGAAAAACAGGTACTTGCTGACCCTCCTCTAATTTTTCACTTTTCCTTTAATCACTGCTTTCTCATTTTGGTATATACCCCCATTCTCTAAATTACAAGCTTATATACTGCATCTTAACTTTTTTAGTTTTAGGCATTATCTATTGATAGCTCACTATAGAAGATTACAATTTAACAATCTCTTATATCTGCTTCATATCTATGAACACGTGCGTATTTCCTGTCTCATTTTTGTAGTATAGTTACTTATAATTTTGGTTAGCTCATGTGTAGTGCTTATGTTATTATGACCATATAATTCGTTGTTGGCTGAGTCATATAGCAAGTACATTGGCATTGTTCTTCCTTTCCTACCTAAAACTTTTGTTTCCTCTGAAGTTACTATGTAGTAGCATTAAACTATGTGTTTAATAATTTACCTGGGAGGCCCTCCCTGGTGGCGCAGCGGGTTAAAGCACAGCACTAAGAAGCTAAAACCACTTCTGCATGAGTTCGATCCCCGCTTGCCCTGGAGGAGGAGATCCACATGGCGAGGCAGACCTCTCCTGACCCGCCCGCTGCTCCCCTCAGCAGTGTACTTTGTTGATCTGCCTGTTCTGCTCCCCTCTCTGTCTCTGGTGAATCCTCCCACCCTCCACATCTCTGGCCTGTACCCCTGTTCCATGTGAATAAATAAATAAATCTTTAAAAAAAAAAAATTACCTGGGAATTATTTTTAAATTTTCATCTTCCTCATAGTCTAACTCAAACTTCTTTCCTGCTTGTTTTGCCCTCTTTCACTTCTTCAACTGCTTCTAACCCTTCTCTGTGGTCATAGAGCTGAATGAGATATTAAATAGATCTTTAGGTGAGGGTGGGGCTTGTTACAGGCTTCACTGGAATGTGGTCTGGCAAATCCATTTTCTTGAGGTACCCCTAAAGTTAGTAACGCAAGATGTTTCTGGTTAACTGCCAAAAGTTATTTTCTAGTTGCTGGTGTAGGAGTGCAGTGAGGAAATACAACCTGAGATCCCAACTGTGACTTAGCCACCAAATGTACTTTCTCCAGAAAATAGGACCTAAGACATCTACTGGGGTGGGGAGGATTCTGGTAAGTGAGGGTAGGAGTCTAGTTCCACAGTCTTTCAGTCAGAGATATCAAAGATGCCACATACTGGTTGCTTGTGGGATTCTGCTGAGTAAATCGTGATATTTCTGGGCTTTCTACTGCAGCTTCCGGGTGGCTTTCTTGGCTCTGCCTTAGTCACTACCAGCTGCCTGAGTGTTTTCAGCTCCCAGCAGTTGTTCTTTTCTTTCTTCCCAACCTCTTTCTCCTATTGGCTTATGACTTAAAAATTTAAGTTCAGTTACTAAATGGATCAGAGGCATAAATCATGCCTTCTTTCATCAAATCTTCCTTCCCTCTCCCTCATACCTTTTTTCCCCTACCATTTTGGTTTTAATTTTAATTTTGTGTTAATTCTTCTTGTCTATGTTACTGGAGTTCTTCTGAATCAATTTTCTTCTATACATACCCTGAACTAGGGCCTGACAATGATTCTCAAGGAATGAATGGATGAGCAAATGAATAATAGGTAAATTGGTGTCCATTTTCCAGTCCTTTACATGTAAAAACTTTTTCCTTCAAACTGTGAGTGGAAGGAAGATGGTCTTTACTTGTAGAGCTTATCCAGGTTTGCTAATTTTGGTGGGAACTTTCCTTGAAGACACATTTTTTGACAAAACATTGCTTCTGCAATTTTTTGCAAGCAAAATATTCACAGGAACACAGAGGGCTAGTGATCCACAGTGATCACTAATAGTTATTTCTAGTTGCCTTTCAAGCATTTCCTAAAACGGTGTATACAAATGCACACAAGACACAGAATGATAGTGAAGATTTTTCCCCACAGTAGGGAGATAGTCAAGTAAGTATTATCTTAAGAGGAGATGAATGAGATAACATAGGGAAATGGGTGGGAATGAAGTGTTCTGTTCTAGCATGAACTAAGTGAGTTGTATTTTACTCCTTTAAGAGCCAAGAAAGGGAACAGGATGAGGAAAAAAAAGCAATTGATAAGCATTAGGGAAATGTAGATCAATTTCACATTCATACACCTGTCAGAATTACGTCAGTCAAACAGATAGACAATAACAACAAATAATGCTGGGATGTGAAAAATTAAAACCCTCATGTACTGTAGGTGGTAATGGTACAGGTACCAAAAGGTCACAGACTCATCACATGCCCTAGGAGTTCCACTTCTGGTTATATCTCAAAGAGAATTACGAACTCATAGCTGCATTATTCATAATAACTCAAAGGGGCAAACAACCCAGGTGTCCATCATTTGATGAATGGATAAACAAGTTATTATATCCATATACTGTTCCATTCCACGTTTCAATAATGGGACATTATTTAGTGATAAAAAGAAATAAAGATCTTCACAGATACATCATGGTGTCACAAATACATTATAGATAATGGAAACTATATGCGAAAGACTACATGTTATAGTCTCCTGTTTAAGTCATGAATAACAATCAGGAAGTTCCTACTTCTAGAGATTGATGCCATCTGCATATGCCTTATTTTTTTTCTCAAATTTTATTTTTAGGGATTGCATTACTTTTTATATTGTCCTTTTAATTTTTAGGCCCCTGGTTTGATATGTACTTAACTGCTCGAGAGTCCATTGTGCTGAACTTTAATCCATTTATGGCATTCAACCCTGACCCAAAGTCTGGGTATAACGATCAGCTTATCCGGGCAACCAACATGACTGTTTCTGCTGTTCGGTTTCTGAAGACACTTCGGGCTGGCCTTTTGGAGCCAGAAGTGTTCCACTTGAACCCTGCCAAGAGTGACACTGAGACCTTCAAGAGACTCATACGCTTTGTGCCTTCCTCCCTGTCCTGGTATGGTGCCTACTTAGTCAATGCCTATCCCCTGGATATGTCTCAGTATTTTCGACTTTTTAATTCAACTCGTTTACCTAAACCTGTTCGTGATGAACTCTTAACTGATGACAAGGCTAGACATCTCATGGTCCTAAGAAAAGGAAATTTCTATGTCTTTGATGTTCTGGATAGAGATGGGAACATTGTGAGTGCCTCTGAAATCCAGGCTCATCTGAAGTACATTCTCTCAGATAACAGTCCTGCCCCTGAGTTTCCACTGACATATCTAACCAGTGAGAACCGGGATGTCTGGGCAGACCTCCGGCAGAAGCTGCTGAGTAGTGGCAATGAGGAAACTCTGAGGAAAGTAGACACTGCTGCGTTCTGTCTCTGCCTGGATGACTTCCCCATTAAGGACCTTGTCCACTTGTCCCACAACATGCTGCATGGTGATGGCACAAACCGTTGGTATGATAAGTCCTTTAACCTCATTATAGCCAAGGATGGCACTTCCGCTGTCCACTTTGAGCATGCTTGGGGTGATGGTGTTGCAGTACTCAGGTTTTTTAATGAAGTGTTTAAAGACAGCGTTCATACTCCTGCCATCACTCCACAGAGCCAGCCCGCCAGCACTGACTCTTCTGTTGCTGTGCAGAAACTCAACTTCAAGCTGACTGATGCCTTAAAATCTGGCATCCGTGCTGCTAAGGAAAAGTTTGATGCCACCATGAAAACCCTCACCATTGACTGTATCCAGTTTCAGAGAGGAGGTAAAGAATTCTTGAAGAAGCAGAAGCTGAGCCCTGACTCAGTGGCCCAGCTGGCCTTCCAGATGGCTTTCTTGCGGCAATATGGGCAGACAGTGGCCACCTATGAGTCTTGCAGCACTGCAGCATTCAAACACGGCCGCACCGAGACCATCCGCCCAGCCTCCATCTTCACAAAGAGGTGCTCTGAGGCCTTTGTCAGGACACCCTCCAAGCACAGCGCTGGGGAGCTTCAGCAGCTGATGGCCGAGTGTTCCAAGTACCACAACACTCTGACCAAAGAAGCAGCAATGGGTGAGATGGGGTGGAGAACTTGCCTTGGGTCTCACTACCCTCAGCACTGGGGTCAATCTTAGCAATATTGTATCTCTCATCTGGTTTCCATCCCTTATTACGTGTATTCCACCTTACAACTCCCAGAATGATTCTGTTTTTCTGCCCTAGTAGTCTGAATAGCCCAACTAGTCAACAGGGATCAAGATATTCTATCCTAAGCAGAGATGGAGAAATATATCTACATCATCATATGCAGTCCATTTCAGCTGTGAGATGATTGTCTTTCTAGTACTTATTAGTCATCAGATTCAACTTTTGACAATTTCAGATTGCTAAGTCCATTGGCTTTTGTACTTTAACTCAGTTGTAGGGTACTGGTTTTCTATTAATAGGCCATCTCAGGATTTCTTCCTCAATCTAACTAGCATTCTTTGCCACTTTGGTAAAATTCAAGATTTGAAGATGACCTTGAGGATCATACATTTTAATTCTTTCATGTTCTCCAAAGAACAGGAATTAAAGGGGATAACAAAGACATTTGGGTCTTCTCCCCCATTTTATAGGAGCCCTTTGGGTCACACAGCAAGTTACCTGTAGGGCTGTGATTAGAATCCCGGTTGGATACCTTTTCCATTTTGACTCAATTTTGTCTTTGACACTTGAAGTTTGGGTTTTACTTAGCTTTTTAGTCAATACTTCTCTATTTGTACTTCTCTTGACTCTTTGGTTTGAAATGATGCAGTTTCAAATTTTTTTAAATCATGTTTTCATTCTCAGCACAGCTATTGTTTTTTTTTTAAGGGGAATTTTCCAGTGTGATCTGCTTTAGGGGTTAGCAAGATAGTTAAACAGGCAGACAGACAGACCCTCTTCTGTCAAGGATGATGTGAGGGGATTCCTACCATACATGGGAGGTCTTTCTAAGGTTCCTTTCAGGTCTGAGATTCTAAGTGCAGTTTTCCATTTTGTCTCTGACAGGCCAGGGCTTTGACCGACACTTGTTTGCTCTTCGGTACTTGGCAGCAGCCAGAGGGACTACCCTGCCCGAGCTGTACCTGGACCCTGCATACGGGCAGATAAACCACAATATCCTGTCCACAAGCACTCTGAGCAGCCCGGCGGTGAACGTTGGTGGCTTTGCCCCTGTGGTGCCTGATGGCTTTGGTGTTGGGTATGCTGTTCATGACAACTGGATAGGCTGTAATGTCTCCTCCTACCCAAGCCGCAATGCTCGAGAGTTTCTCCAATGTGTGGAGAAGTCCTTAGAAGACATATTTGATGCCTTAGAAGGCAAATCCATCAAATCTTAGCTTCCAGGTGGGTGAAAACCCTCCATTACTTTATCAATGTGGAAGTGCACTATTTTAGCCAGTAGGTGCTAGTCTGTGATTAATGAACTAAAGAAAGAGGGGCCTGAGCAGCCAGTGCTGTAAGGTTTGAAATCATGTCTTTAAAGCTAAATATCTGATTTTCTCATGAGTATAGATCACAATTAAAGATTATGTGACTTCAATTTTATTTCAATAGATGAGGAGGTAGGATTGGAAAACTCTCGTATTTATTTTTAAAGCAGAAATAAAATTTGTTTGGAGATGTTTCCTTAGTTTTTCAATCTAAATTCCTAAGTCCCCACAAGGAACGTGCAATCAGTAAATTCATTTATTCAGGTAAAAGTAAGCTCTCATTGGCTTCCATCTCCTCAAGTAATGGTGAGAAACTTTCATCCTCCCTGTGTCTCTCTCTTCTGGGACATCCTCTTTCAAAATTCTCTTCATTTTTCTAAGGAATGAAATTTCAATAATAATCTAAATTGTTTGAAAGTGATCTGTCAGCTATTCCTATCCATCAATAATAGCACAAGACTCCATTTATTTAACACCTTTCAGTAAAGCATTACTCTTCTCCATTATGCTTATGAACCTCTTTGATATCTTTAATTTCTAGTTATTTTTGGAGGTAAGTTTTGTCACCATTGTAAATGGTATCCTTTTCTTTAAATTTTGCATGATGCCTATCTATTGAAACATATTTGGTTTCTATGTATTGATCCTAAATTCAGCATCTGTTAATGCTTTTGGATTTGTTTTTTTTTAAAGATTTATTTATTTATGCATACAGAACTGGGGTACAGGCCAGAGGTGCTGGGGTGGTAAGAGGATTTACCAGAGACAGAGGGGGAACAGAACAGGCTGACTGACAAAGGACACTGCTGAGGGGAGTAGCGGGCAGGTCAGGAGAGGTGTGCTGTGCCATGTGGATCACCTCCAGGGCTGGGATTGAATTCAGGCGGAGATTGAAGTGGCTTTAGCTTCTTAGTGCTGTGCTTTAACCTGCTGTGCCACCAGGGAGGGCCCGGATTTTCTTTTTAATTTATTTACGCATTCAGAACTGGGGTATAGGCCAGAGGTGCAGTGGCAGTGAGAGGAATCACCAGAGACAGAGTGGGGAGGAGAACAGGCAGACTGACAAAAGTCTACTGCTGAGGGGAGCAGCGGGTGAGACAGGAGAGGTCTGCTACGCCATGTGGATCACATCCAGGGCCAGGTATTGAACTCACACTGAAGTGGCTGCAGCTGGCTTGCCGTGCTGTGCTTTAACCCACTGCACCAAAAGGGAGGGCCCACTTTTAGATTCTCTAAGTGGAAAACCACAAATTTGTCCAATCTTCCTTTTTCAATTCTTTAACCTTTTTCTCTTATTACACAAGTTGTGACCTCCAGTATAATGAATAGCAGTGATTGAGGGTGTCTCATCTCCCCCAATCATGACTGGATTACCTCAAACATTTCATCATTTATGAAAAACAGCATTTGTTTGGGATTTTTGGTAGATAGTTTTGTAAGGTGAGCATAGTTCCTTTCTACTCCTAATTTGTTAAGTTTCTATAGTTTGATTTTTGTTGAATGAGGACTGAACTTTATGAATATCTTTTCTCCATCTATTGACATGCTCTATTTCTCCTTTCATCTGTTAATGATTATTTGAATCCTTCTACCTGCTGATAGATGAGAAAACATTTTAAACTATAAAGGAAACCTTAAGATCCTTTTAGTGTTTCTTTTTATAAGCTTATCACACATTAGCTAATACAAAAACTAAAAACCAGACAGGTTGTTTAACCAGCCTGATGTTTCTACTTATTTCCTTCCAGGCTGGAGAGTGGACTGGACCCATGTAGGGGCTGGTAGACAATGCTGGCTGAGGGAGGGCCAAAGAAGTGCTCTGACAGGTACAGAAAAGGGCCTGGAACATGGGGACAATGTGGCTTCCAGACTGTAGCGGTGACAAGGTGGGTAATTCACCATGCTTTGTCATGCCAGCTTTACTCAAAATCTGAGGTTCCCCTTTCTGATGTCCTGCAACCAGGTACTAGGAAGACCCTTTTCCAGTAGACCACTATTGGAAAGTGAAGATATTTTTACTTCCAAAGAACTTTTACATCACAGAAGTAAAATCTTTAACAGGCCTTATGAACAATAGGTTTACCAGTGTGAAGGCATGTGTATGCCCTCACAACCTTACTGTGCACTGACCATCTCTGGTTGGGGATCAAGGCCCATGATGTCTTCATAGCTCCATGAGCTGTCTAGAAGCAGAATACAGAAATGTGACCACAGGGAACAAACCAGGACCAGGAGTACAACAGGGAGCTAAGAGGATGGTCTAGTAAAAAGGAGAGCTTTCATGTTGACCCCCCTGGTGGGAGGGGGTGCTGATCATAGTGAACAGTATCCTCACGATCATTAGTCACTTCTGTAGCAGATTCATGCCAAAATCAGACTGCTTGACCTCTAACATCTTCTAGTCCTGAATATAAGGAGACACCAGCCAAGAGAGATGCCTGAATTTGAGAGCCAAGCTCTGGTCAGTGCAGTATTTGGCCCAAGACTACCAGGCTCATGGCATCATTCCACAGGCTCAGCTGCCTTTTATACCTCTGGTCTTGACACCTTAGGTTGACATCTCTGGATTGATGACTATCTGCTTCCCCAAAGTTAGATGCCCTTAAAAGCTCTGGTCTCTGCATTTTACAAATTGGATCAAGCATAAGATTTTTTTTTTAAAGATTTATTTATGCATACAGAACTGGGGTACAGGCCAGAGGTGCAGAGGTGATGAGAGGATTCACCAGAGACAGAGTGGGGAGCAGAATAGGCCGACTGAGGGGAGCAGCAGGCGGGTGAGGTCTGCTGCTTCATGTGGGTCACCTCTGGGGTGGGGATCGAACTCATGCGGAAGTGGCTTTAGCTTCATAGTGCTGTTTTTTAACCTGCTGCGCCAAGATCTTTTAATAGTTTAGAAGGGCACCAGTAAGCAAACCCGAGTTCTTATTTGTTGAGGGTGTGGCTGCTAGCTGACACTGCCTTCAGGCACCAATGCTGCACAAATGGGCTTTATTGATGAGGCTTGGGAAGCTGTGACAAAGCCCAGCATGCAGGTTGTGAGGGCTGGGCTAGCTGCCCAGAGACAAGGGATGAGGAAGCCAGTGTCAGTGGGCTCTTTTGCTTGGAACATGTCCCTTCTCAGTTCCTAGAGACAGGTGTGCAGAAAGATGGTTCAGCATTTCACAAACTGGTGGGTAACCTCATAGATTCCCACAGATTCCTGAGTCTTTTCATCATAGTCAGTCCAGTCCTGTGAAATAAAATGGCAATGTTAGCCTCACATGGCAGCCTACGACAGTGTGAAGAGTAAGAAATGGGATTTAAAAAATCTACATGTATGACCCTGGACAGCCAGACTGCTCAGATTTGAATTCCAGCACTTTCAGCTGTTTAATAATAGATAAACTGTGTAACTTCCCTAAACCCCAGTTCTTCAGTCCTCTGTAGAAAGGTATAATAATAGATTTCATAATGTTGAAAGACTCCAACAAGGTAAAAATATATAAAATACTTAGCCTCAGGGTGGCACATATACAAGCCCTGTGAACACCAATTACTATTTTATTAGGAGCAATGCAAACTGAAGTTTTGTTCTTTCCTGACACTGACCACAAGGTTGTCTATCTGCAAGGCAGTAGCATGACCAGTAGCACATGAGATTTCCTGTTTTTCACACAATGCATTAGCAAGGATTAAAGCACTGCTACCAGGGGAAATACAGAGTTAGGTTCCTATCAGCCTCTAGTCACATTTTCTTAACTGACCAATGCACCATTTGGTTTTGTGTATGTTATAAGACATACAGTTTTATTTTACCATTAATACTGTTTTTAAGACATAGCCTTTTTTTTTTTTTTTAGCATTAATACTGCTGGTCATTACGGTTGAAGTTGTAGCCCTAGCCCAGCCTTCCTGCATGTGGAAAAGTAGATGACACTTCTGTACCATACTCCAGACCACTGAAAACACCCAAAGTACAAAAATACAGTCAGCCTTGTTCACTAAAAGGATAATTCCCATCAGATGCTCTACATTATCAGGAGGCCCTACAAGGCCTCCAAGTCCCATACCTTTTCCTGCAGATTAATGTCACTGAAGACTGTACCTGATTCCAGACCCTCAGCAGCAAACCCAGCCTGTAGGTGACAGGAAGGCATTAGTTAGTATGGATTAAGAATGTACCTGGCTGGTATGGGGGGCCTGGACAGGGAACTAGCTCTTCTACACCTGGGATGAGAGCACAGATGTGCATTGGGCAGCTGCTCTGTAATAACTTCAGGGCTTGGCAGCTGCTCCAGTCCATACTGGTTCCTTCAAATTTAGAGACCTGGACCATAAAGCAGGAAGCTGATACAAACCCTTCCACTATCTCTGACTTTCTGAATGACCGTGGCATGTCACTTTCCTTCTTAGACCTTCGTTTTCTTATATGAAAATGAGATCACAATACTGCCTACCTCAGGTATGTTGTGAGATGAAAACAAATACACAAAGTGGATGAACACTGACTCTGAAGTCAGACAGACCTGGGTTCGAAATTATAGCTCCATTACTTACTAAGTTGCAAAATTCCTGTAATTTTTTGTCCATTTGCATTATAGATAAGAGGAGCTTTATAAAGAATTATTAGAACTCTTACAAAGGAGAATATGTAGTCCATGGTCCCTGAAGGAAGCAGAGTTCTGCTATCACTTCCAACCTACCCTCCCCAAAGATAAAAATTCCTAGAACACACGTACCTGGGGCTGGAAATCAACTGGTTCGAGTCCCCGACACTCAAACTCTACAATTGTCTTGAATTTTTCGTTGTCTTCAGCCTAGAAGGGAATTTTGTTGATGAGATAAGCCACTCCCGTCAACCACACCCATGTGGAAGAAGCCTGTTTTAGGCAGCGGCTCCTCATGAGACTTTCTTGGTATCGGTACTGCAGAACAGCCTTCCTGACATGAGCTCTGACAGAACTCTGCCTTGTTTCCCCTCTGTGTCTCAGATTGTTATATGCAGCTGAGGAAATACTCCTGATTTATAGTGAAGATCTGAACTATCCAGATATACTTATTTACTTACTCTGTTTTTCACTGAGAAAGAACTAGTGTTTTTTATTAGCTTCCTTGTTGAATGTGTCCCAAACGACTGAGCCACTGAATAGTGGAAAAAGAAAACCTTCAAATTAAAAATCTAGGGTTTTTCTCACTGTTGTTTCCAAGGAGAAGGCATTTCCAGGTTTATTGTGAAAATCTGAACTAAGTGGAAAGTACCGGGCCCATTTATTGAAACTATGCTCAATAAATGGTAGCCAAGGTTGGTCAGTATCGTAAATAGAACATCCAAGCAATCTTAATACACTTAGCCAGACTTCTGCTAGCCATCTGCCATGCTGTGAAGGAAAAGCTTTGGAAATAGGTTTTACACATCAAGGGGGCCTCTCTGAGGTGGTTGTGTAGTGGGAAATTCATGCCTACCTCACCCCGGGGGGACAACCTAAATACCAGACATGCACATACCATTCTCATTCTGTCACTCACTTCAGTCATTTCCTGTACAAAAACCACATGCCTGGTACAGATGAAGCACGGCTCTGTTGGCCCTGGTTTGCTTCTTTGCTGGTCTGTCTCTTCCACTAGATTATGATTTACTTGAGGGTAAGTTCTCATGTGACTTATCTAACTTCAGGATGAAGCTGGGAACTTGGCACAACCAGACATTTTTTGAAAATATCAAATAAAGAGTAAGTGAACACAAGTAACTGCCCTTGAAACAATTAGACCCTCTCTCCTATTTGAACAATTTGCTACAGAACTAAATAAGGTATAACTACTTAATTACAGTATCAAGGGTGGGATGCACCATATACTTCACCAATTACTCAGAGAAGTAACTGTCTCACCAGTTACTTTAGAGACGGGCTAGGCAAGTACTCTCTGTGATGGAAACTGAGTGGCTAGATCAGGTCGAAGGTCCCCTGAGGTCTCAAAGACCAGCACTTTTGAAGAAGGCATAGCAAGTTTGTTTATTTTCTTGTCAAGCACTGAGTATATGGTGAATAATAATGATAGAATGAATGGACCAAGTGAGTGAGGGGATGAATGAACAAGTACACAAAGGACTGCCCCTTGGCAGGTCACTCTGATGCACATATAACTCTAGAACATAGGTCTCCTAGCTCCCGGCTTAAATTTAATCCCACCATGCCTGATACTGTAAACAGGAAACTTACATTATATGATTTGATGGTGCTGCTCAGTATCTCTGAAACATAAAAAAAGAAGACAAAGTTGACATGAGTCTGAACTCTGGCCCTATCCAGGTGCTCAGATGTGACTGAAAAGGGGAGAATCTGCTGTAGAAGCTTGAAGACTCAGGTCTGGGTCCACCCACAGGTAATACAAGCCTGTTTTTGGTCTGGTACCAGGAAGCTGTGGGCCCACCTGACAGACCCCAGCATGTGACCTCACCTACCGATGGAGTTCTCCCTTGAACACAGTTTACACTTCTGGACCATAGAGGCGCTGCCACGGCCTCCCTTCAGTGCCACACTGTCCTGGCAAAAAATAAACAGACCCTCTAGTCATGTATCACAAAAGTCTTGATGAGACAGCCCAGTTGGAGATCCAGACCTAGCAAGGGAGAGTAGCATGCTAGGACAGAATCCTGGGGAGGGTTTTTTGGGACTGAGGAAAGGGTTTGCCCTTGATTTGAACTTTGCCTCACACCTTAAAGATGTCTGTTGTTCCCCACGGATCAAATTAGTGCCTACCTACCTATATCACAAACAGCAGGGTTCATAGACCAGAGAGATTAGGGCTGAGAGTTCCCCACACCCCAGTCCTGAGGAATGTATGTGGGTATGTGGTTGGGGGGAACAGTTACCATGAGTCGAATGTATTGCCATTTCTCTGAGATCTCACCACAGTTGCCACACTTCATCTTGAGGGGGAAAAAAAGAATATTAGTAAAGTAGTTGGCTCAGCCAGGCAGATACTAAAGGAAGGTTTATAACAGTGTAAGGAGGGCAGGCTCTTAGTGTGCTTTTCTTTTGGCAATCTCACTTCATTCTTAGAAGCAGCCCCACCAAGGACAAAACCAGATTGTCTGTGGAAGGGGGTGGCAAACCCACCCTCCTCTAAAAAAGTACCCAGTTTGAATTTCCTGAAGCCTGGTACAAACATGGCTTCAAACCACCCCCTTCAATCCCCCACTGCTGGGTGACGGGTGTCTCTGTTCTCACAGTCTCCTAAGGTCCCTAGTAAAGGGACTTATCGTTCTCTTGTTACTCTTTGTCTCCTTCAATAGGTTCTGTGCTTTTTGAAGCAGAATATCAATTCCTCAAAAAAGCCCTGGCACTGGACTTCAAACTACTTGGAAACAAAGGAGGCCAGAGGCCTCAGGAAAGAGCTAGGGCTTATACCAGGAACTGAAGGATGCAGGACTTAGGCTAGGAGGAAAACGGATAGATATTGGAGAGTAAAAGACTCAAACTACTAGGTGACAGAGGATCTCTGTAGACCTTTGCACTAGAGTGGCTGACACAACCTGATCAACGAAGATAGGTGAACTGATTCTCCATACTTGATAATCATAAGATCACTTCAAGTAGGCTTTCGCTGTTTACACACCCATGAGATGTTTACCGGGGCGAAAAACTACAAAAAGCCTACCCAGGAAAAATAAATTCATGGCTAAACATTTCTCGAACTGATTAACAGAAAGCATCTGTTCGAGACTGCGTTGAGAACCGAAAATCTTTAATCCGGCCAACCTCCAGCAGCCCCTCCCTGCCATCGCCGACTTGGAAGCATCTCTGACGCCCCTCCCTCCTCCCGTGGAGGGCTCAGCCCTCCAGCCGCACCTTCAGGTACCACCGGAAGTCCTCGCCCACAGGCCGGAGGTTGGTGACATTCTCCAGCGTGGCTTTGAGCTGCAGCGCGATTTTCTGAGGAAAAGGAGGGTCCGAGCGACTGCACCAAGCACGCCTGCGCAGCCGTAGTCCCTTGCTCGGCCCCGCCCCTCCCGGCGCAGATTCTCCCGGTCCGCTTCTGCTCGGCTCGCTGCTCGGCACGAGCCCACACCCTCGTTCCCTCCTGAGGCGAGCGTCTGCCGGCCTGACTCCCCATCACCGGGGCCCCCGCCACCACCCCGTGCTGCCCCGCCAGCGACTTGCCCGCGCCTCACCCCCATAGCGGCCCGGCGCTGGTGGCGGCACTGCTTTCCGGCCCGTCGTAATCGAGCGCGCCGCTGCGCAACGTGCGTGCGCGGCTCGGGCGTGCGTCGGGGGGCGGGGCCTCCGCGCGCCACCGCCTCCTCGGCGCACCCCTCGCTTCATTGTAAACCGTGGCGGTAGCCCCTGAGTCTGCAGTTAGCCGGCGCTCGGAACCCAGCTCCCCGGAGTCTGTATGTCCAGGTACTGACTGAGGAGGGCTGCAGCATCTAGGCAGTCTCTGCCGGAAACCCCTGCGAGGACTTCCTGCGCCCCTCAGTGCTTTCTTCGTCGTCCTCAATTCTGCCTGCCTTCCGAGGTTTCTTACACTGGGTCCGGCCCCTTTGTCCAGGGCCAGCAAGGTAGTTGGAGAGCTTGGGCCCTCTCTTTTGTCTTCTCCAAATTGTGCTGCTTTGCCCCACGAGACCCGTTTTCCAGCCCCCTCCAGGGGGTTGCCCGTGTACATGTCCTTGGGGTCCTCGCGACTAAACTCAGTCCCCTCTTCAGCCGGCTCTTGCCTGGGCTCCCACCTGGTTTTTCCTTATATCGCACCTACCTAACTTGGTTTTACCAGTCGTCTTGACAAGAGCGCATCTGAGACTGGAGCTGTATTACAAAGAACAGCCCACTTGAGGCTCCCTTAGCCTTGGCGGGGGGGGGAGTGGGGCTGGGGGGGGGGTGTTCTTTCCTGTTACTGATAATTTCGATTGTTTTCGATGTCTTTTTTACCAACTTGCTTCATTTTCCCAAGTACCTTTCTGTAGCGGACGGCGCATCAGTCAGGAATCCTGCCATCTCGAGTCTCATACCTGCACCTAACATGATGCCCCCTTTATCTTTGAAGAAGGCAGCATAGTGTGTCAGAAGACTTGGAACCTTGTTCCAAGCTGGCCTATTGAGGTATGTGAGTTTTGTCTAATCTGTTCACCTGCCTCAAATTGAGCTTTACAGGGCACAGTTCCTTTCAGTGCTCTCATTTGTTCAACCAGCAATTTGCCTAAGTTTAGCAGTTACAAAAAGTTGCTACAGATCTAGCCTGTTGAACACATTTCCACTCTGTCTGTACCAGCTAGGTCTCAGTTCCTATTGGCTGTTGTATTCTTATTTTAAAATGGATTAATGGGCAACTTTCCTAAAACCTGGCATTTTATTCCTTAAAAGGTATTAAACCAAAGTATTTCCCCACTGAAGTAGCTCCAGTTTATCTATAAAAGGTGATTTTAAAAAACCAACCCAATTTCAAATGTATGTCAACAAAGCTGGAGAGGAAGAAAACCCACATTTCACACTTGAGTCATGATCCAAACATTATCAATTATGTGTCTCTTATATCTCCTTTAATCTACTGGTGCACCTCCATTCATTTTATTTTATGTAGTTTCCTCTGTATAGTGTTGACTAGATTCCTGTTGAACTTTTTTTTTTAAAGATTTATTTATTTGTGCATACTGAACTAGGGTACAGGACAGAGGTGCAGGGGCGGTGAGAAGACTCACTAGAGACACAGAAGGGAGCAGAAAAGGCAGGTTCTTGAAGTACACTGCTGAGGGGAGCAGCAGGCTGATCAGGAGAGGTCTGCCTCACCATGTGGATCACCTCTGGAACAGGTGGAGATCGAACTCATGCTGAAGTGACTTTAGCTTCTTAGTGCTGTGCTTTAACCCGCTGTGCCACCAGGGAGGGCCCTCCTGTTTAACTTTTTAACATGTTTCTCCATTCTCTACCCAGAGGTGATTAGATTTTTTATGCAATGCTTCACATAGGATGTGAAATTTTTAAAAAGTCCTCTAAGAGTGCATAAATTCAGGTCTTTATAAATAGTAAAAACTGCATTTCACATATTTATTAGACAATCATTTATACTTTATAAAAAAAATATTGCCCCAATATACACAAAAATTTCCTGATAATGGTAATGAAAAACAGCTACTCTCACCCGCCCCTTGTGTCCACACCAATATTTAGTTTAGATTGGCTTAATCTTGAAGTGTAATCCAATAAGACTGAACACCAAACACTTCAGGTCCTGGACAAGATAATAAAATACTCGTAAGCCTTCTGGATCCCTGAAACACAGAGGGAAAAAATATTGAAAAGGCTGAGAAAAACTGGAATAAAAAAAAAAAATTATTTATATATACAATGATTGAAACATTATGAGATAATTTAAAGTGATAAGGCTTTTTAAAATAGTGAAATGTTTACATTCCATGAAAAAAATTGATTAAAATAACAGTTTGTTGATCTCAATTATATTTTGTGCTTAAAAAGTCTATGTTTTTAAAATGTAAAGAAAAGAGATAAATACTTACTACCATGGTTGCCTTAAAAGTTTATAGATATTTTACTTTCTACATCTGTATTTTCTGTAATGAGCATGTATTACTTTCAGAATTTGGAAAAGTTAATAGTACTAGGCAGGGCCAAAGGCTGAAACTTACTATACCACAGCTGGCTATGGAGATTTTCTGAAGGAAGACAACTATGCCCAGTCTGTACTAAATGGAGCCATATATGATCCCCAAAACATAGGAGCCTTAGAAATCACCAAATTGTAAAAAAAACTTTAGTATATAAACTCAACTTTATAATGTGTCTTAATGACAGCGTGAATTTTTAAATATATATCCTAAATTTCAAATTTTACTTAAGACTTTAGTATGTGTCAGTTTGAAGAGATAGCACTGTTAGTTCTGACTCTACAGTTTAACCACTCACTTTGGTACTTTATACTTTACATTTTCTATTCTGGCCAGATTCCTACCCATGTTGGCTACTCCTGTGGCATTACTGTGTGTGTGTGTATCACCAAGCTCTTATTAACAATGATTGACTAAAACACTAAAAGTAACAGGAGCAAACCTTCAAAAATAGTCAGAAGGCCCTCTCTAACGAGGGGCCCAAAACCTATCATTTTGCATTTATACCAGATTTTTCCATAATGGTCCCAATTTAGTTAAGGGTTCATATCAGTCTCCTCCAAAACAGACAGATCTGAACATAAGGAAAATGTACTTACTTGGACTGATTGACATCAATAAGGGAACCAATTTTTGATGTTGTGAAAGAGATGTGTTCATCTCCAATGACAATTTCAAGCTCCTAGAAACATTTAAAAGAACAAAGTCAAGCCAAACAGGATTCTTCATCATCCATAAAGATCCCACATCTGCCAATCACACAAATTCTTCTATAGATTGTCATGGTGAACAAGACCAGTTCACTCAAGAATGAACTCTGTTGAGTACTGGAAACGAAGTAATACTGGTTAAATTAACTTACTGGTAACTCATACTCTTAGGAGGTGGGTCACAAGACAGAATTCAAATCTAAGCTTGTTCTCTTTCTTCCTCCCTGTGGAGTTAATGCTTCCTAGGCCAAGGTGCTGGTAATCTGCTTTGGCTGGGGCTCCATCTCGTTTTCACATAGACACTGGATTCTGTTTACAGAGCACTAAACCTCTGATTTTAAGATTTCTGTACTAACGGAGAATTGCTAAAACACTCACCTGCCGGCCCACCCTGTCAGGAGGTGGCCACAGAGCATCATCCTCTTTTGTAATTTCACTGTCATCAATGATTCTCTTCAGTTCCTCCATCACACTTTTATGTACATAGGCCTGAAAGCAAGATGAACAGCATTCAAGTTGAATCCCTAAGCAGTGTTCTGACTCAATTTGCAGTGAAAGATAAAGACAGCTGAAAACTTCTTTCTGGCACCTCTGTAAGTGGGAAGCCAGTCAGACTTGACATCAGCATGCTGGAGAAAAGGCAAGGCCAGAGTACCCAATGACTACACCCTAGCTCCCCATCTAGTTGCTTCTGTTTCTTGGCACATCCTGGTCACATGGATCTTCTTGCATTCACACCTAACTCTCACTGAACTCAAAAGATCTGTAAGTAAACCTGGTTATTCTGAATTATGTGACATACTTCTGAAAAGCAGAGAAATGTGTTGAAATATATTTTGCATACTAGTCCATGTAAGGAAATATGAGGGTGCTGACGTGGTAATCATAAATTGGCTAATTACATAAAACACTATAAAAATACACTGAATGGCAAGACAGTTTCAAATGTGACAAAATGGTTAAAGTTCTTAATGGTGGCTGTCAAAAATGGAGTACATTTTTGGCAGGCATTAAATCTGAATTCCCATTCAAGCTCATACTAGCAGCGATAACCTCTGAACAGGTCTCTTTGATTTTGCCTGCAAATGGTATATAGTACTACCCATTACACAGTTTTATGTTAAATTAGATAATGAATGTAAAGTACACAGTGTTAACATGTATTCAGTAATGTTAACTGCTTTTCTATGCACCTTTTCCCATTCAAATGCAATTGGACAGTTCCACTAAGTGCTATGTACCATGGGATATAACAAATAAAATGTATTTAACACTATGGCAGCACTAATTGTGGGGGTGAAAGGGGACGAGGTTATTTTCCTTTTTTGCAGATGAAGAAACAGAAACTTATCAAGCTCAGCCAGGGAAACTGCTCAAACTCATAAGTTCAAACCAAGATCTGCAGTCACTTCAAATGATCACTGTAATGGACTCAGCACTATAAAATGACATAAAAAAAAGAAGCTTGTGAGAAAAACTTTTGAAGTTATCTACAGATAAATGTGTACACCTCCTTACTCTTCCATCTTTTAATCCTACTCTCAGAACAAAACCACTACAGGACAAATGGCTGAAGTGTAGTAAACAAAAGGGTCTCAGAAGGTCCATTACCTCTTTTCTGATCATGACGTCATTTTTGTAATTGCTGTTGTTGGCATATCTCAATTTCCCTGTGGACAAAAAACTAATTTCAATAAAAACATGAAAAAAGCATCATTGGCCTACCAAGACTGAGCTGTTGCTTAAAACATATCCTAACTTTCACTGCAAACTTCCTACCAGATTTACTGTTTACACTGGTGGTACACTAGTTCTTTGCTTCCTCACTTTAAGCTACTGAATAGCCTCATAGTCAAAATACAGTTGACACTGAATTACACAGGTCTTGCAAAAGACAGCTCTGGTATGATAAACACAAACAGGTTCTTTTATAAATCTGCCCTCCACCCAAAATAGGAATAGTAATGGATAACTTGCCTACACACAAGTTCTCCTAAGGCTCAAATGACTTGAAAGCATTTCAAAATCATAAAATACTGCTTACATATATTATCATATGACCCTGCAACTCTGATTTATGCCTGTGGTTTTATCATTCACCTCATCTGGTACACAAGGCCCTTTGTGCATATGGGCAGTAATGAGAAGATAAAAGGAAACATGATTTTCCTTCCTGTAGAACAGAAGGCTCATATGTAAAGAAAAAGCCAAATCAATCAATTCTTACAGCTTCTGCACTATCTTTGCCCCACATTCTCAATTCATTCTCCATAAAGTCGACAAAATGATGCAGTAATAGATATAGTTAAATTACTTTGAATATGGACAAAAGCTTCCCACTGCCTTCTTGATAAAATCCAAATTCCTTTACATTGCATACTGAGATGAGGCCCTCCCTGCTTTTCCAGTGTCCTGTAATAGTCCTCTCACATGGCTGGCATTGATCAAGCTGCTTGGTTTTTGCCTGAAATGCATTTTTTTTTTTGCTGCTGATGCTGTCCAGATGCCTCTTGATTCTCATCTGCATCATAACCATGACTAAAGACCCATTTTAGGCCTCCTTTCTCCAAGTCATTTTATGCAAGATTAGGTACTTCTTTCTGCTCCATAAATTCCTTCGATTTCTATGTCAGCACTCAATACGCTGTCATGTCATTTATAAACCTATCTCCTTCATGATTGGGGCTTGTCAGACTCATTTCTGTGTCCCCATTTAGTGAGAGCTTTCTGCTATCTTTGGTTCGTCTTTTTGAATTTCATGATTGGGGCTTGTCAGATTCATCTGTGTCCCCATGTAGTGAGAGTTTTCTGCTATCTTTGATTCATCTTTTTGAATTCACTACAATGCCCCTTCTCCAGTCCTACCAGTCAGCAAAATTGTTGGCTGTGTCTCCAGTAGTACCTTATATCCTTTCCACTTTAGCTGTCATCCTTGTGCCAACCAACTTCATTTCTGTTTTCACAACTGCAACATGTCCTAAAAAGTAGTCCCATTTCTTCTACTTTTGCTCCTTCTACTTTCCATAATTAGAATACTTTTTCAAGAACAGATCACATCTCTACTTAAAATTTTCATTGTTTCCTGCTGCACTTAGACTAAACCCAAAGACCTGCATGGCCTGACTACCTTACCCTACTTACTTATCTGTAATCACTCCCTTGTTTTTCCAGAGCTCACTGCTCTTCACCCAGACTTGCCACTTGAAAACCTCATTCTTGTCCCCTGGCCACTGGCACTTGTTACTTTGTCTAGAGTGTTTTTCCTCTGCGCTTAATAATGCTGGCTCTTTCTTTTCAGTGGCTCTGTTCAAATACCCCTCCAGAGAGCTCGCTAAAGGTCACCTCATTTTATTTTCTGACTTTTCATTGCTACCTGGAAACTTTTTAAAAAATAGCCACTCTCCTAGCTCTAGAACACAAGTTGCATGAGAGAAGAAGCTTGTCTCTTGTATTTCAGATCGTGGCACACAGCATGGCACAACGTGGGCTTCACCAATGTTTATTCAATGAAAACGTTCTGTACGTGATATAAAAAGGCAGTAAGGCTGACACTGCAGTGTTTCTTTCAGATCCGCCTGGCACAAGTCTTTCCTCTTCCCCTTGTTTTTTGTACTTTGCGGATCCTCGGCCTCCCTACTCACCCGCCCCCAGACCTAGCTCACTCATCAGAGGAATTGGAGGCCAATCTTACCGTCGGGTCGGAACTCAAATTCCAGGAACTCGTGCCCAAACTTGCCTTTGTGACCCACGTAGTAACGCAGATAAAAGTCACTCTCCATGGCCCACAACAGATCACCGAGCCCCTACTTCAAAATCAAACCGCACCACCGTTGTACGCGCCCCACACTGACGTCCAGAGCGGCGCGCGGAAGTGACGTCACGTGACGCCCAGACGGGCTTCTCCCTCACCCCGCGGTGGGACCACGCTGCCGGGCTTCTTCCGGCGGAAACGACGCCTTTTTCACCCAGAGGCGGGATTCTCCGCCCGGCACGGGCTCCCCCCAGAGCTTCGCTCGCCAGTTTCTCGTTAGGCGTGAGGTGGAAGGCTACCCGGAGGCTTCTGGGCCAATAACAAGGGAATTTTATAACAAAAGGAAGGGAACCTTTTGGTATTAAGTGCCTAATGAATGTCGCCTCCGAGGCCGAGCCCATTGGTGGGTGAAGGCTTAAATCCTCACAACAATTTTGTAGTAATTGATGTTACGTATTCAATGTAAGAAATAGCAAGTTATTTTTCAAGACTGAAAATTACAAAACCTTATTGTACTGGTGAGTCAGGGCATCTGCAAATGTGGCAAATAACAGAAGTACTGAGAAATTTCAAGGGGCACCCTACTTAATCAGTCTGTGAAGTGGTTTAGGTTTTGGGTATGAGACAACAGGGCATTGCTGAAAGAGCATTTGTGTGCATCAGGATGTGTCTGGGTTTAGTGTAATTTTCTGAGCATCTATATGTCATATACTAGGAATAGAGTGGTGAGCAATCATTCCCCCAGCTCCCTTTTTGCTCCTGCTATGAGTGAAACCATTGGGTATTTTTTTTTCTTTCTTGTTTATTTCACTAAGCATGATCCCTTCCAGCTCTATCCACGTTGCTGCAAAAGGCATGCGTTTATCTTTTTTGATCCAGCATACAATTTTAAAAAAGATTTACTTATGCATATAGAGCTGGGGTACAGGCCAGAAGTGCAGGGGTGGTAACAGGATTCACCAGAAACAGAGTGGGGAGCAGAACAGGCAGATTGGCCAAGTACACTGCTGAGGAGAGCAGCGGGTGGGCCAGGAGAGGTCTGCGGCACCATATGGATCACGTCTGGGGCAGGAGTAAAGTGGCCTTAGCTTCCCAGTGCTGTGATTTAATTCACTGCACTAGGAAGGGCCCCCATCCAGCATACAATTTTTAATGTAGGGGCAAAGGTTACAAATAGAGGAGGCACTGAATAGGTTAGAAACAAGATGTCTCCTAATCCAGTTTAGAGGTGTCAGAGGAGTCTTCCAGAAGCAAATATTCCAGACAGGCCCCCAAATTGTGTGGCTGTTAATATACTAAAGAAGTTAAAGGGGCAGAAGGTAAAAAAAAAAAAAAAAAAAAAAAATTGAGGACCTTACACAAGCCATAGTTAGGTGTTTGGGCTAAAATTCAAAGGTATTTGGATTTTTTTTAAAAGATTTATTTATTTATTCATATAGAGCTGGGGTACAGGCCAGAGATGCGGAGGGTGAGAGGATTCACCAGAGACAGAACAGGGAGCAGAACAGGCAGATCGACAAAGTACACTGCTGAGGGGAGCAGCAGACAGGTCAGGAGAGGTCTGCCACGCCATGTGGTCACCTCCTGGGCAGGGGGCAGGTGGGAATCGAACTCATGCGGAAGTGGCTTAAACTTCTCAGTGCTGTGCTTTAACCCGCTGTGCCACCAGGGAGGGCTGGTACTTGGATTTTAAAAAAGGGAAACAGAGGTTGGTGGTATGACCTGTTGTATACTAGAAAGATCACTGTGGCTATAATACATTATACTTGAATCAGTAGACGCTCTTGAGATACTGTGTCCTGGTCAAGGAAGAGAAACTAAAAATATTGATAAGATCTTGTACTGGTCCTCAGTGGCATGTGCGAGGCAGAGCAGGTGGTAGTTGGCAAAATTTTTTTCTGAAAGCACAGTTTAACCCAGTCTGAGAGAAGACGTTCTGGAGGATTAGTCCTAAATGGAGTATTCAGGAAGAATAGGCCTTAGCAGAATGAAGAGGAAGAGAAGGAAAATCTAGGACGAATCTGCTCTAGGTGCTTTGGGGACACTAAACATTACTATATGACTTTGGGCAATTACTTCACCTATTTCTTCATCTATAAAATAGGAATAATATTGATGGCATTTGTTTCACAGAATTGTAGATGAAGGCAGATAATTTATGCAGAGTATCTACTACGTGTTAGGGGCTCAGTCAACATCATTCACCACTCCCTTTGTGAAAGCATCACAATAAAACATACTTTCAGATTTAAAAAAAGTGAATTTAATATTTCTCTAGAAACAGTGCACTGATTTTACAAATGTTCACATTTGGTTTTCAGTTCACCAAGATGATGTTATTCCTGCAATGGGATGCAACATACCACCTTCCATCCCTTTGCTTCTGGAAGAAACCAGACTGCAGAGGGCAGAGTACAGAATGAATGGAACTCAGAATGGGAAAACAAAAAGAGCAGAAATGGTTAGTGTGACCCAACATAACCTGTTACATAAAATATGGTAATTTGGGGGTGTGGCAGGGTGGGGAGACAAATGGAAAATTCATTTGGGTACAATGTGGTGGAGTTTGCAAACCAGAACTTTACCCCAAGTTAACAACAGCTTGTATAGAACAAAATGGTATTTTAAAACATATGGTTTGTACAGGTATTTGTTTTCTCTTGTGGTTTTTGTAAAAAAGTATCAAAACCTTTGCGTCTTTAAATATATATATATGTGTGTGTGTGTGTGTATATATATGTATATATATATATACAGGTGGCTTTTTAAAAATTACTTTTTATAGCACAAAGTGTTTGCAGCTGCAGAGGGTTTTTAATGGTAGACTATGCACATGGTGCATAGCTTGCAAGAACAGAGCTTTCTGATTTCTTATATTAACTGAACATTTGAAGCTGTAATTCCTTAACCACTTAAATTCTATCTATCCTGGAAAATCCCAGTACCCTAAAAATACATTTTGAGAAGACTCTGATACTCTATCTTCATGCTTTGATAGGAATGGAATGATTTGTTCTGAAATATTTTAACTGCCAATTCATTTATAGTTTGTAAATGATGAATATAAGGCTGGAGTAAGGGAGCAGGGTGGGGAGACCCACATTCCTGTGCTTTCTCTCCACTCCCAACATCTCCTGACTGGACAGCACGTGGGGTTCTTTCTCCAGATTCCATGTCTTAAAACTTTAAAGTCTTTTCCCTCACTGTTGAGAAAATCTCAGAGGTTCTTGACAACATGGAATGCTTCTTTGAAAATCCTGCTGTACTTAAGTTTTCATTGATTAGATCAAAAATCATAAGATTCAGATCTATGAAAAGCAGTCACTATTTCCCTTTGACCCCTGAAAAACTTAAGGCTGAAGACCAGTGTGTTTGCAAAGTGCTGGCAACGCATCTTGATGAATTTTTCATGATGCACTAGGTGCCTCATACAGAAGAAATAATTGCTTAATTGAACCAGAAATTAAGTAATCTATAAGGTGCTTACACTGACCCTGTCTTTTCATGCAGACTTATTTCCTGCTAGTCCCTCTTAAACTTTTTGCTTATTATAATGAATCTCCATGTTATTTCATGCCTCTGTGTGATAACTGAGGGTCTCCTGTCACTGAAGCAGCCTGGATACCCTTACTTATTTTTTAAGACTTGGTCTAAGATTACCTCTATGTTGTCTTTATTGACCACATTCCTCATCTCCTTGGGTGGAAATTACTCCTTTTCTTTGTACCCTAACAGTACTTGGAAAGAATTCTGTTTCTTTTTTGTATCCACCTGTTTTCCTCTACTGCTACTGCATACTCCATAAGGACAGACAAATCTTAATTGATAGTGCCTGGCACTTAGTTGGCACCACTGAGTGGTTTTGCTGAAAGAATATATTACAGTCACCAAGAAGAATTGGAGGGATTGATTTATTGCCATAAGTTTAAATCCGATCTCATTCTGAGGTTACAGGTTACTTCACTCTGCTTTATAATTAATCATGCTATCAAGAATAAATAAAATTTTAATTTTCCCTGTTTCTGAAAAGGCCTTTTCTGTAGTGCCTTCTTAGACCACTGGAAAGGTAGGCCGAAAAATAGGTAGCAGTTTTAGTACAATGTTCAGGCAGCCCAAAGTTGTCTGCTGGTGATGGTTGGGAGGAAAAGGACTGGGACCAGTTTCTTTTAAGTAGAGGAAAAAAGTGGTAAACTTTCAGCCCTCCTGGCACTCTGTCTAAATTTCCTTCCAGTTTTTCGGTCCAGTGACTCTGGATTCATTACTGGTTATGGATGTGCGATGACACAGGAGTGGAAGGCAACAGAATGCAACCCCCCACCAACTCCCTACCCCATGAGGCTCAAATGCCTCCTAGACTAGGGGGAGGATGGGTCTGAGCCCTCAGGTATCATCCACCGTGAGCATATCCCATAATTTTTCTTTTTGTGGATTGCTTCCAAAGCTGCCTCTTTCAAACTGCAATTGCAGTATATTCAGAAAACATGAATGTCACTGAGAAAGTTGTTTCATCATCATTTTGAAATCTCAGCTGAATTATCTTGACCCATTCATTTTTTTTTCCTGTTAAGATCAGTATCTGACTATAAGTTTAGAAACTGCATTAGTCATGGTTATCATTTCATTTCTCCAGAAAATTCTGTTTCTTTGGAGACAGGTTACAAGTTGCTTGTTTCATGTAAGTTTCAACATTTTTCACATTCATCATTTTTCTTCAGCCAAAATAGTTTTACTTTCCATTCTTGAAAGAATAGTAGTGATTAAGCTCCATAGGAGTTGGTCAACTGTTCTTGAAATTCTGTTTGGTATTGATCATTCTAGGTCAGTTGCATTTACCCTCTCAGTGAATGTTTCAGGTCTATCAACACATGCTTACCATGAAGAAATTGCTTATTTATATAGAGCACAGTGCCCAGGCTCCAGAACACAGTTGTTTCCTTTGTGGTAAAGAGATCAGGAGTGACGTAGAGGAAGGCCCTAGGAACAGGGTGAGAGAATACCAGAATGTCTGTCTGAAAACTCAGGGAGTAGCAAGCTGGGAAGACATCCATCAGGGAGTGGGAGTGTGGGGATGAATCTGCATAAATCTGTCAAATTCCAGATAGGT